TATGTATTTATATAAAAAACATGCCTGGTAGAGGCGACCCTCGGGTGAAAAAGTGGTGGTTTTTGAGTCGTACCGACGAGCCTGGAACAGAATAAAACTCTTAATAATCTTCAAACTAAAAATTCTTGCCAAATTTTACATATAGTAATTTACAAACAGTAATTTACAAACAGTAATATACAAATACTAATTTACAATTAGTGGTTTCCAAACAGTAATTTAGAGATAAGAATCTAGATTATGCAGATACAACTTGTATATAAATGAGGAAAAACATTAGTGCTTGAGGAAAACTTCATTGGTTCCTATGGCTTTTGCCTAATTTCTTTAGTAAAATTTAGGAAAAATGACACATTTTTGCAAAAAGTTTCTTGTGAAACAATCCATTTTTTACCAGCCATATCTTTAAAATTTTACTTGGTATTGTATATTTTCATACAAATATTCCTTTCTTAATTTTTTCAGTGAAAAATTTAATAACAGTACATTTTTACTATAAATTCACAGATCACATGTACAGCAAATCTGGAATATGTGAAAAAATTTTCTCAAATTGTAGGTAAATGTAGTTTTCTACAATACCTACTCATAATAATTGCATGCATTAGTCAATATAATTTGTTTTCCTCATTTTTCACTGAAAAAATTAAAGAAAGGCCCCAACTAGGAACATCTGGCAAGCCATTAGAATAGTTCCTTAAAATCAAAGATGAAAACAATTTTTTTCATGAATGAATTTCAAAAGTTGTGGATAAATATAGGCTGTATTTCTTTATTTTTTACAGAATTGGAAAAAGTCAATAGGTATGGGTGAAATTGCCCAGATTGTATTTTTTTCTGATTCACAGTTGGCTTCCGCTCAATTTTCCACTTTGGGGAATGGCCACAGAAATTAGAAACTGGCAAAATCAACTGCAATCATTGACATTCTAGTCTCATAATCTCATTCACCACATCTACAGCCCAATTTTTTAGTTGGGTTGTGAATCATTCATCTTTGCTTGCACTTTTCTCAAATATTCTGCCAGATATCATATTTTAGATTCACAATTTAGTACTGCCATTATTACATAGTGGCAAGGCGGAGATTTTTTAGAATTGGTTGATTTTTAATTACCTCATTTACTTAAGATTTTAAATCAATATCTTATGTATGATAATGCTAGTATGATGGTATCCATAATACTTTGAGCATTTGATCAGTTAAGGGGAGCGTCTGGGGTAAAATTTATCTCGGCTATTCACAGACGGATCACTCTGAAACTTGGTACACATATGTAAAACAGAATTCTAAGACATTTTTGTTCGTGTGAATTTTTCGAAAAAAATGAAAGAAAACGTGAAATTATTAGAAAACGGCCAAAAAAGGTAATGTAGCAAGGATACAAAACTAAACGTTACTGCAGCTTGATTCCAGTCAAGGATGGTGGGAGCGATGACACGCAACCCCTCCCGTACAACTGCAGGCGGGTTACTGAAGCACATCGTATGTGGACTAGCTATTTATGCATGCTACCAGGAATTATCGCCCACCTAAAATGTGAAAGAACTCCCCCGACCCCCTCCCCTTTTGCAAGCTGTCGTGAACGCATAAATCAACGTACAGAGATGATTTTGGTACCGTTGGATACAGTGTGGAATTCTAGGGGGATATTAAATTAACCAGTACACATAGCATATTGGAAAGCAGGACCTGAGTTGGAAAGCCCAGGAACATTCCACTTCCAGTCCATTTTATTGTGTACATTATACATATACTATCACTTTTCAACTGTGATTGGTTTATGGGATTGTGATTTTATGCTGGGGCTGCTTTCAAGCTGTGATTGGTTGATGGGGATGCTTTCCAGCTGTGATTGGTTGTGCCCATATGCCCCGCCCCCAAATATAGTATATGTACTACTGTACCAGTTAACTAAATACTTAGCTTAAACTTGATCATTACAAACAAAAAGCCAGGAAAATTTTCAAAAAATCCATTAAATAAAAGAAAAATGGAGAATACCTGTCAAACAAGAGACATTCAAACAATTTTATAACGAATCTGAGGTACTATACAATTGAAACAGTTTGTCAACTTTTGATCCTCCTTTTCATTTATAGTCATTAGTCAGTCACCTGGCAGAGCACTGTATCTAAGGAAAGCATTCCACCTTGGGTGGAAAGCTTTTTTATAAGTGAACCTCCATTTCTAGAATTCCACCCTGGTTGGATAGAGCAGAATGTCAGCTTTAAGATGAGACTAAAAACTGGAAAAGCCAAAATTCAAAATTTTACCCCAGACGCTCCCCTTAATGGTCTACTTATAGAACTAGAAATTGAACTTGAAATTGAATGTCCCACATGCTCAAGCATGAAAAACATCTCTCTTTAGGGCCACAACTTGAGCTTTCTTGTCACTTCCGGAACCACGAGATTACCGCCAGAAGAATTACCTATTATCTAATTGTTAACATAAGTGCACGATTGGGCCACAAATTTCAAAATGTATTAAATATTTGTCACACCTGAACCAGGCATGGAACTTATCTACTTGGCAAGCCACGTCTAAATTTTTCAAGCTGTGGTTTTATGGATTTGCCATCCATAATTCTATTTCTTTGAGCCGTGATTTCTTTTCTTTGAGCTGTGAATTCCAGATCTTGGCCATGAAAAGCCATTTACGAGCCAGCAGAATTGAACTTTTTAAAAAGTCCCATGCACATATTACCCCTAATCTCTAATTTTACCCTAAAAACGGTCCACTATGCAGAGGGTGGATGCAGCGTCGGCAATATATGGATTTTTAAACCCAAAGCGTCGCCGGCCATTTTAAAGATGCGTCTAGAAATATATTAAATGCAAGAATTTCAATCTAAATGTGTCGGCAAGATCTTCTGAAGGCGAAAATTTTGCCGATAATGCGTCGCCGTAGGTCTTTAAATCTTCGTTCACTCTCTGCACAGTGGAAAACAGTCAACACCATGGTGACAAACCAGAGATTTTTTAGAATCAGTTCATTTTTAATTTCCTCATTTACTCAAGATTTAAGCCTAATTCTTTTGTATGATAATGCTGGTATCCATGATACTTTGCTGGTCTACTTATAGGACTCAAAAATGAACTTGAGGGAGATTCTAAAAAACTCTCTGCTTTGCCACCATGGTCACTCAACACTAACATTTGTCTTCACAGACTTCACTCAAGTGTCATCTGACTTGTTGTCATTAGGGTGCAAACCGCAATTTTTTCAATCAAACAAAAATACATGACATTAGAGCCGCAAGATTTCATGCCTACTGAAATTATATGATATTAGAGCAGTGAATTTAAGAAAAAAAAATAGGACTTTTCCAGCCCTGAGTCCTGACCGGAACTGCAAGATTTCAGAAAATATATAGGAAAATTCCAATCCTGCATTCTAGTAAACAGAATTTTACAATCAAGCTCTAATTTCATCTAAAATATTATACTTAGAAGCTTAGGATTTCAGTGAAAAGTAGGAATTTCCTTGTCTTGTTTCATAGAATATCAATCAATCAATACATAACATAAGCAAATTACAATGTTGAAGATAGAAATACCTAGAATTTTTGGGCAAAGTTTGCATTTATTACAAATGAAATTGTTTATTTGTCAATTTTTCAGGCTATGAATATGATTAATTGAAGCCATGTGGCCACCATTCACTGGCACTGTGGCACAGGCCTCAGAAGTTAGTACCTAGTTTGACATTCTGGAATCAAAACAATATCAAACCCAAACGTGACTCGGTAAAAGCGTAAAACTAAAATACCTAAGTATATTTGGAGATAAAAAAAACAGTCAAAGTGAAATTTTGATTCATTACTTGCTAATAATATAGAATAACCAATAGATGACTCGAATTACCATGTCTGTGAACTTATTTGAAGCTTTTCAGGAAACAAATTTGCCGTATGCAATCACCGTAGAGACAGGCGGAATGAATGACAAACAATTTTCTAAGCGGCGCGGAACGGAACGGAACGTGTCTGTCCGTAGGGAAGGAACACCAACTATAAATATTATAACCTTTATTTAAATTTATCAATAAATCAAGAAAGCAGGAGAAATCAAGAAACAAACCTTGAAAGCAGCCTGCACCGGCCATCTGCCACGTAATCTTTTGAAGATTTAAAAAATGCCAATGGTTGTTACCGTTCTGTCCCAATCCTAGGCGTTTAGCCGGCGGAGGTACTAGCTTGAGATCAAATCCTGAACACAGATCAACACTCCCGGCCTACCAACCCAAAATGCTGAGGGTAATCGACATCAAAAACCACGATTTCTGAACATCGCTGACTCGTGATTGGCTTTACTAAGTGTAAAACCCTGTTTAACTAAGGAAATGTTAGTAAATTTTCATAGGGATTCTTACTTAACTAAGATTTTAAAATGCCCCCAGATGTGTTTAGTGCCCAAAGGTGTGTGGATAGCACCACCATGTGATGGGTTAGTGCCCCCATGTGCGTGGTTACTGCCCCCTGGGATTGAATATCCCCCCAGCTCCATATTTAATTTTTTCTTTTATTAATGGGACAAATTTCGGATGTTGGAGACTCATCTTCAGAGTCAAAATTATCTAGACAATGTTATACCATTCATATATTATACATGTATCAGTCGCACCCATCTCCCACTCCCACCAGCAGTCAAAACAATGATGTAGTCCAGAATTATAGTCTAGAGAAAGAGCTTTCAGTTGATACTAAATAATTTAAAATTCAATTGATACTAAAATCTCATAAAAATGGCCAAAAATCTTGTAAAATGGACCAAAATCTCATAAAAAAAAGGCCAAAATTTGATAAATTTTCTGTTCAAAGGTGCATTTTGGTAAACGAAAATTGTACGACGCAAATAAAATTGTTGCTTCTTGAGTTTCAATTGCACTCTGTTCGTGTTTACATGATATTTTTTCACATTTGTTCTTATTTTAAGTGTATGATTTTAATTATCATTACATAAGTACATAAAATATTTTGTGTAAATACTGTACACATATTTCAGGGTCCACGATAGTTATGAGCCTTCGGGCCATCAGTTCGGCCAAATTTGGTACGTAGAAGAAACTAGACGTCGTGAAATTATTGCAGCTAGCTGGGGCTTTGAACCAGCAACTCACTGCTCTAATCTCGCTGTTCATAGAATGAACGTCTACACCTTTAACAGGTCGTGTGGGATTAAGCTCAAAGTGGCCAAGTGATTAAATCGCTAAGATTGCATAAGCGAGTTGGAGGTTCGAAACGAGGGAAAATTGTAGATTTTTTGTCTAAATTGGCGAGCTGAACAACGGTAAATGAATTTTTGTACCAAAGACAAGCTGGCTCACTATCTATTACATTCATGTTTTGATTTTATTTTTTGTTTACTAATTGTTTTCATACGTGAAGTTTAAATATCCAGTTCACTTCGACGCATCACTATTCTCGTGCTAGATTTAAGCTGCCATGTTTCCAGCTCAATTCATTCATTGATTTTTCCATTGTTTGTTTGTACGCTAAATTGATACTATATAAATTATTGATACTATATAAATGCTTTAGAAAAATGAGAAATGCTAACGGTATTTAATTCGGTTAAATATTGATTGTCAGGGGCCATACTTTCAAAATTCGCTTAGTGAACGAAGTACTTACGCTTTATTTTCTTGTCTATGATTGGTGGATTTTGCTAGAAAGGCCGTCAATGATTGGCTGATGAACTTACGATCTCTTAACTTTTTTTGAAAGTATTGGCCCTGGTCATAAACTCTTTCATCACCTATGATTGCTTTCATTACTACCTTACATTATTGACCTCCAGCTAGAGGCTACAAAATTGGTAACAATTTAACTCCAACGGATTTAACGAATTACGTACTAATCCTCCACAAATTATCAGAAGCGTATAAATATAACTGAAAGCTTATTGGCAGTTAAACAAAGAAGAATGCAAACAAATGATGCTTCATAAAATGTCTAATGTGAAGCAAAATTTTCAAATAAAAAAAAATAAATAACGATCCAAATCAATTCGTGTTAGTCATAATAAGAAGATTAAAAATAAAAATTCCTCGTCGGATCGATGAAATAAAATTTGTAAATTTTTCTTCAATGCAAACATCTCAAATGAAATGCTAACATGTTTCCAATGGTTTTCTGCCTTGACCAACATGGAGGGGAGAAGAAGAGTCGAGGAATTATTAATGTTTTTACTTTAATTCTTTGTAGATAATAACTTAGACAATTCTTATGTGGCTGAAAGACTAATACCGGATATCAGTAACAATCGTATTTTATCATGTTTTTGTGCCTATATAGCACCGAGAGACCGTATTATCAGCATTATATCCGTGATATTGTTCATGATGTTCTAGTAATTGAGCTACCATAGAAAATTGCTTATATAAAGTCTTGGTGATCGATAGTGAGGCAGATTTGAGACGCATTAACATGAGTAATCGGAGCAATATTGTAACAAGCACACTGCCCAAAAATATAACTCGGTACTCACTGCAGTGAGTGACAGAGAGCGCATTTTCTCGTCGACGAAAACGTGAAGTCACGGACAGACAGACGGACATGACTAGTTACTTTAAAATGTTCTCTGTTGCGTACAAACGTCCTCAGGTTGCTACACTCAATAGTTTACGTATAATTTAAGTTGAAAGTTACTTTAAAATGTTCTCTGTTGCGAACAAACGTCCTCAGGTTGCTACACTCAATAGTTAACGTATAATTTAAGTCGAAAGTTATGTTCACGGAAGGGACATACGGCGGTAGATGGTTAAGAGAGGTCGATCATGAATATGAATAATGGTTCCAGCGTTTATTAGGCCGTAGGCCTGTCGCCGACTCTTAACATCGCAGAACATTCACAGCTTGTTGCGGTCTCGAACTCGCCATCGTGCATGGAAGACGCTGCCTTAATTGAGCAGATATTTCTAAAGCTTAAATCGACTCCGAGCGCTTGACTAATAAAGGACTGAGCAAGAGATGCTCTAGCGGACTAAATAAACTGCTTAGGTCATGTTCTTATATCCCAACATTTTGGTGCGACTAGCACCCGGATCATTTGCTTGTTTCTGCATCTCGTCGGATTTCTCCACGTCTCTTTTAAACCCTTCAAAGCCAATACGTATGACTAACGAGAAAGCAAAACTAAAACAATGAAGCTCTCTGCCATCTTAGGTTGGACGTTCGTTCGTTTTAAGTCATTAAACGTTTAAGTTTAATAACTATGAGCCATACTAAGAAAGTTACCAAAAAAGTAAACATGGCGAATAACGGATAAAGATTGACCTAACAGCATCGGTGAATCCATTAAGTAAGGTAGCACTGACTAACACCAATACTCATTCAGGCATTTCACTTTTAACGGTAAGAACGTTCTGCTCAGTAAAGTCTCAGAAGAATATTCTTATTAAGATTGCAGCGAGCGACATAGAATCGCATGCTGAACAGTGTAAATGTTTCTCCTTTAAATGTTTGCCGAGAATGCGGCGAATTAGACGGTATTGTGTGACGCAGGCCCGCGCACACTCTGAGCAGTGGCAAGGCTTCAATGTTGAATGCCTGTGAGGAATTTGGCAATTTTGATAGAATTGTGAAACGCTTGAATACTGACACTCAGAGCAGTAGATAGTTTTTGTTGAAGATTGTTCTTGGGAAATATTTATTCTCATGCCTGCCTTTTGCGGGCAAGTATTTTTCAATTAAAACTGTATGATTTTTTGCGTGCATGTTTATCATGAATATGTTGCAGAAGCCTTTGGGTGAGCTGCTTGGAGCTGGATGATGCAGAGACGTTGCCACCGCCACCAGCCGCTGCTGCGTTGCTCACACAAAGACACATCATTTCAAGGCTGCCAAGTTAATTAAAAATAATAAACTCAATCCTTTCATTATCACCCATATACGAACCCAATGAAGTAAACAATTGAAATTATACAAATTTAAAAATAAGCTTCATCATCATTGATTTCCATGCTTATTCTAGCTTACTTCTTGCCCTGAAATTTGTCACTCATTTACTACACAACTTTTTTACCTGATATTGCAGATGAATTTTTAGAACCGTTGATTACAATATTGCAAGCGCAGCTGTATTACACTATCTCGACCAATCCTTTGAATTATTTGACTTTTCGAATCTTTGAGCTGAAGATGAAGCTGGTCTCTGTACTGTTTTCAACAAAGACATGGTAAATACCCTTGATGGTTTATTAAATTTGAAATTCTTGGTTATCTTGTAATTCGGCTACAAAAGATGTCATATAAGGACATTTTGAGATGTTTGGGTGGGATAGGAAGTAGCTGGCCTGAGGAAGCTAGGCTGCTAGCCTTAATTAATGATACTTAATTATACAGCATATTAAAATTTATTAATCTTGGTGTTACAAGACGCTAATTACAAGGTGTTATCAGCCACGTTGTGTTTCTTTTAGAGTGTATGTTGGAAAGTTTCAGGAAAACAAGGATTTAGTGATGGTACCCATCTCCCCTAAAACCATCCAATCCACCTTCTCATATAACACATAATTTGCATTTATTTAATAATTTATCAAGAAGCAAACACAACTAGAAAATACAAGTATCATGTAGAGTGGCAAAAAGCAGAAGAGAATTAACATGATGAACCTATTGAAGGTACTAAGTCCATCCATTAATATGACAGAATAACAAGAAATTAAACATGGTTAAGTCAGTCAATCATTGTTATGTCATCTACTTACATTTTTTACGCTGAATTGCACTCCTAATTTAATTTTTTACTTTTACTTTACATATCTTTCCATCTCAGGAAAGGAGGGAGTTTTAGGATCCCTAATAGGGCAATCCTACTTCCTGGCAGTATCATTAAAAGGGACTTAACACAACATAGGCAGGTAGGCGTTCATGTTTATTACCCCTTGATATTATGTATAATGTAGTTATATTAATGCCAAATTTCCTGCTTCTCTTCAAATAATATTTCAACTCAGTTTTTGCAGACTCACAGCAGAGAAATGACACAAAATGC